AGAAGCTGAAGTTGCATGCCCAACTCGTGGCGAACGGGCAGAGGCAGAAGCTCAGCATCGACTACTTCGACACCTTCACCCCCACAGCCAGTATGATAACAATCCGGATGGTCCTAGCGATGGCAGCTCAGCGAAACTGGGAGATACACCAGGTAGATATCAAAAGTGCTTACCTGTACGCTAGCATCCAGGAGGAAATATACATACACGCCCTGCCCGGCTACTTGAAGGAGGACCAGCGTGGAAAGGTGTTGAGGCTGAGGAGGAGTTTGCCTGGCCTGAAGCAGGCAGGATTCAAGTGGGCCAAAGAACTATCAGGCATATTCCTAACACTGGGATTCAGCAGGTCCAAGGTCAATCAAGCCGTATATTACAAACGTACCTCCAACCAGCATACCGTCATCACGGTGTCCGTGGACGACATGGCCGTGATGTCGAATGACGCGGCCCATATCCACCAGTTCAAGGCCGAACTCCAGCGATATTTTGAGATATCAGACCTGGGAGAACTAAAGTGGCTGTTAGGGCTGAAGGTAACGAGGGATAGAGTGGGACGTACCATTACCCTGTCTCAAAAGGCGTACGTCGCGACCATCGTCGAACATTTTCGTTTGGGCGATGCCAAGAATGTGCAGACTCCAATGGAGTCCACAACGACCCTGTCAGTAGAGCAAGGACCCACGACCCACGCCGAAATCCAAGATATGCAGGACATACCATATCAGAGGGCGATTGGCTCGCTGATGTATGCGGCCACCAGCACGCACCCGGATATTGCATTCGCAGTCGCAACGTTGTCACAGTTCATGCGGAACCCCAGCAGGCCCCATTGGGAGGCTGCAAAACAGGCCCTATGTTATCTGAAAGCCACTGACAACATGGAGCTTACCCTAGGAGCAACTGACGTGGGCCTAGAAGCCTTCGTCGATGCTGATTGGGCGTCCCAGCCGCACAGACATTCAATGTCGGGGTACGTCATGATGTACAACAGCGCACCCATAGCCTGGAGTGCGAGGAAACAACCGTTAATAGCATTGTCAACAGCAGAAGCAGAATATATAGCACTCACCAGTGTGGTGCGCGAACTCCTCTTCCTACAGCTCCTCGTCACCGAACTCTACGATGCCCCGAACCTCCCAATCCCCATACACTGCGATAATCAAGCAGCCATTGCGTTAGCATCGAATGGGAAGTTCCAATCAAGGACGAAGCACATTGACTTACGATATCATTTTGTCCGAGGGCACATCAAGAACGGCGTCTTCAAGCTCTTCTATTGTCCCACTGAAGACAACGTAGCCGACGCCTTCACCAAGGCACTACCGCAACCCAGACTCCAGAGATTGAGAGCCATGATGCGTTTGGATAGCGCTTGAGGGGGAGTGTTGAGAGCCGATGAACCCGAGGACGGAAAGGCCGAGAGAGGAGGAACCAAAGGAGGAAATGGGACTACGGCTGAAGGTGCGAGCACCACCAAACGGAGATTCCAGACGACGTGTCAACGTTGGCAATCTTTTCATTCGTTTAGTATATGTTTTCATCAAAAAGACCTGCTGGCGCACTCACCATATAAAAGCAGCCAGTCGTCGTTGAAGCATCTCAGATTCATGAACCGAATACTGAGATGTGAGTGTTCTAGTGTAATGTTTTGAGTACGAAAGCTAACATATAACGTAGCGTACCTGTCTAGGTAAAAACATTCGTCAATAAAGAGATTCGTGAACCGAATACAGTTGAAATGCTCATAATGCATATGCTAACAATGCATAAGTCTCATAATGCATGGACTTTTTTGGATCCCGACGGCGTTCCCATGTAATTGACCGCATAATGCATAACCTTTGCATAGCCAATATGCATTATGAGGTACCAAATTGATAGGACAGGACAATAGGTACAACAATGTATTGCATAAATTTATTGTTCTGCTTCAGTGGTATTGTCTCGTTCGACTATGTATAGAAGCTAGCAAGTAATCATGACAGTACGATACCACACAACAATGTCCATAAACCCAAAACGCAAACCCCGTGACAAGCCCGCTGTCTATAACCAACCTGTGAAGCAGCAGAAAATCACCAAGGACACTCCTCGAACTTCAGCTCATTCTCCCAAATGCACTTCTCGCCACAATCTTACACTCTCTGACTGGTTAACAGTCTATTCATTTGTTGATTCTCATCCTACTGTATCACAGATTGAAATTGTTGAACACTTTAAATCTCTCAAGTCGGGTGCACTCAATTTCACGCAGTCAACCTTATCACGCAAGTTGCGGGAACGTCCAAAAATGGAAGCACGGATCAACGATAACCCTAATGCATTGTCATCGAAGCGGCCAAGGATTGTCACAAGGCCCGATGTCGAACGTGCCTTAATTCTGTGGGTTAGGCACATGGAGAGTAGACGTGAAACAGTGACTGGGCCTATGCTGCGAGAGAAATGGAAAAGGTTTGAAGATGAGTTTGATGTCCCGGAAAATGAAAGGCTGTCGGGGGAATGGCTCCAATCATTTTGTACTGCCTACAAGATTTGCGAGTACCGATGGCATGGAGAAGCTGGGTCTGTTGACATTGAAGCTGTTGATAAAGAACGAGAGCGTTGTCATAAGATCTTGGCGAAGTTTGCTCCCAAAGATCGGTGGAATTTTGATGAGACATCATTCTTTCCTTAGTGAGTGTTCATTTATATTAATCTATGTCACCTAATTTTTTTCATTTTAGTGCACCTCCAGACCGTGGTCTTGCAACACGACAAATGAGTGGTAAGAAGAAAGAGAAATTCCGTATCTCCATCGGATTAGCCTGCAATGCAGATGGAAGCGAGAGGCTCGAGCCTTTTTTTATCGGCAGGGCAAAGAAACCCCGATGCTTCAAGAAGCAGACACCGGAACAGCGGGAATTTTATTATCGGAATAATAAGAAGGCTTGGATGACAGCAGTCATATTTGAGGAGTACGTGGACATGATGATATGATTGCTGTTAATATCTAATCAGTGGCCTAGATGGATCAAAAAACTCGATCTTCAGATGAAGCAACAAAACTGGCACATTTGCATGTTTATTGATAATTTCTCTGCCCACAGCATCTCGTATCAACCATCAAACATTGATCTTGAATTTTTTGGGCCCAACATGACACCATTTGTCCAACCATGCGATGCTGGAATCATCCGATGCTTCAAGGCACTATATCGCCGTAATTTTTGCGCGCATGCTATTGATCTTCATGAAGCTGGCGAACGGGATATTTATAAAATTAATATTCTCGAAGGCATGACAATGGCGAAGCAAGCATGGTATGCTGTCACGTCCGAAACCATCAAACATTGTTGGGATCACACTGACATTCAAGTGTAAGTCATCTTTTGACCTCATTTTTTTCGGTGCTCAAGTCTATCACAGTGATCCAACGACTAATGCTGACACATGGCCTCACACGGATCCACTTGCATGGAACATCGTCCACAAATTCGCAACTACCGAAATGTCCCTTCCCAATGCGGAGAACAAGCTACAGGCTCTTCTTGGCAAGCGCTACATAGATTCTGATTGGAGACTGGCCCTCAAAGCTGTAATGGATGCTGAAGGAGATGTGGAGATGGCTTTAAATGCCATTGATGCACTTATGCAAGCTGCATCTCATCGTACCGGCCTCAAAATTCGTATTCCCGTGCGCTCACAACAAGCTGCCCAGCTATCTTCTACTGAAGCTGTGCTTATGCAATCAGTCCGAGAACTCCAAGCACGCAATCGCATTTTCGGTACCTTGCCAACTATTGATGAACTTCTGGACCCCACTGAGGAGAGAGATAAGGGAGAATTCTCTGCTTTTGAAGGTGGTGACTCATCCATTGCAGACACGGTCCACCACGAAATTGCCATTGCAAATGGTGAAGTTATTGAGGTTGATTCTGATGACGACGACGACGACGAAGCGGATCCATCAATCACTCGTCAAAATATTCTCGATTTGTGCCAGCAGCTTGAAGTTGGATGCATGCAATATGGTGATCCTCAATTTTCACTTGATTTATCATCACAACTTCGAAAGTTTCGCGCGAACCTACGACGCGAAGAACTACTTAATGCCAGACAAACTTCTTTAGAACAATTCTTCTCGGTATAATACATGTACTTCTGTAGGACTATGGACGATTTTCTGTCACACTTTTGGCGGAGGTCACATGCATCACAATAGTGTGACACATATGCTATTGCATATGTCTCATAATGCATAATGTTTGGGCGCAGGCCATACTGTGAGAATGATACATTATATAGCTAGTGATGCCAGTGTAAGGGTGATACATGAATCACTGTACTGCCAAGGATGACTAGCAGCTGTAGTGGTGATGTATCAGTAATGTATCAGTGGAGGATCCTACCTAGCAGCTGCCGGTCCAGGTTCTTGGCTTCCATCAAGCTTAGTCACGCTTGTACCTTACTTCCTTTGCTTCCATCAAGCTTAGTCACGCTTGTACTTTACTTCTTTCGCTTCTGATATTAGCTACCTGGGTATATTTGGTGTGACTCTATTTTTATCCTACTTCCTACGCATCCATTATTTGTCAGCAGCCTATAAAGCTTAGTCACGCTTGTACTTTTCGCTTCTGATATTAGCTACCTGGGTATATTTGGTGTAACTCTATTTTTATCCTACTTCCTACACATCCTTTATTTGTCAGCAGCCTAGATCACCCATACACCTGGTATTTTAAGCGTGGGATCTAGGTACTGAGATACTTAATTTATCAGCCAAGCCCGAGGCCGAACATTGCAGAAATTTGGCCAAGTCCAGTTGAGGTCAAACACCGCATAGGCTATGAACTTTGGTCTTTCGGTCCTTATGGTGTAGCATTACAAGTATCACACAGTAGTACAGGAATTTCCGTTCACGCAGCCAACAATCAATTTGAGCAGTGTCATTCAAAACAGTATTATTCTGACATGCATGCGGCACACTAACAAGAAAATCACGCTATTATGAACAACTATAGCTATGTACCAATGGCATTGGCAGTGGCCGCGCGAGACGAATGAAAACGCTGTTGTTTGCCCCGCCCTCCCTCGACATGATGCTGAGAGTTCTCGGTGGAAACAACCACTGCGCCCCCCTTCTGACGCTTCACTGCAGCCATCTCCAAATTCTCTGTGTTGCTCTCGGTGGGTTTACATTTAGAAGCCTTTTTTGTGACTAGCAATGTGCCACCACTGGCAGCAGGCGCGGCCAAAATCGGTCCCACGGTGAGAGATTCAGATTCAGGCATGACGACAGACGGTTGAGTAGAATTAGGCAGCTCTACTGCAGTAGGAGTGTGGGCAGGAGCAGGAATTTCCGTGGGAGTAGGAGTATTGTTGTGTGGAGGAGAGGTGCAATGTTGGTTATGAGCAGTAGGAGTGTGGGCAGGAGCAGGAATTTCCGCGGGAGTAGGAGTATTGTTGTATAGAGGAGAGGTGCGATGTTGGTTATGAGCAGTGTTTGCGAGAGTTGACGATAAGTGGCGAAGACGAGGAGGAGACGTGAAGGTCTGCAAGGTCGTGTCGTCGTAGGGATCCCCAAAACGAAATTCTCCGGCATCACTGAATGAGACGTTATGACCAGTTTGCGAGGTGGAAGTTAAGGGAGAGAGCTGCAAAGAAGGAAGACAATCTGTTTGAGAGGAGGGGGATGAAGACAGTACCAGAGAAGATGGAGGTAGCGGAGATGGCGGTTTGTAGTTGGGTGGCATGGGTAGAATTGTGTTGTTGAAGTCCAGATCAACACTGTCATCTTGAGGATCGAGGGGAGAGTATCGAAAGAAGTTGTAGACGGGCTGTGGTGTATGAGTGAGTGATGTATCAGGACCGGAAGTTTCCTGCCCCAAAAGTGCGCTGGATAGTCCAGCCAGTGATGTATCAGCTTCCTGCCCCAAAAGTGCGCCGGATAGTCCAGACAACGACGGCAATGGGTCCAACAGCGTAAGTGATGCATCAGGTGATGCAAAAGGGACCATAGCGGGTGATGTATCACTTGTGGTATCCATAGATGACGGCAATGGGTCCAATAGTGTAAGTGATGTATCAGGTGATGTGGAAGGGACCATAGCGGGTGATGTATCACTTGAGGTATCATCCTGAGGGAGTGTAGTTCCTTTCGATAACAATACTGCAGCACTAGCTAGAACTTGATGAGCTTAGAAAGAGACACCAACAATTTGACGACTCACGAAATGCTCGTGATGCAAATTCAAAATACGGCACCATAATGTTCTCCTCAAACTTTGGAAATGCATGATTGAACCGATTGCCGGCAGTAGTGGTCCCGATATGCAAGCTACTAACGTCGAGTTTGCCACCATTCATAGGGTCAGGGCCAGCAAGTAAAACACTGAACGACCATCCTGTCGCATCGTGCAACTCGGTGAAAAATGTTGACATGATTTCTGTAAGTCTTGATATGATTCTGCCTGCAATAAGCAACGATGAAGCGAGATGTTCGGTGTCACTTACGTCTCCTTTGACAGCTCCTTGTCACGTTTCCCGTCTTTCACCCTCTCTTCCTTCATCTGTTCAGCCAATTTGGCGACTTCCTCCTTCACCTCTGCGCTTTCATTTTCCCAGTAAGATGCTATTTGTTTGCGCACAACCTGCATAGCTCGCTTCTTCGGTTCAGGTGCATCCGGTGCGTCCTTCATGGCATCAAGTTCCTCCTTCACTGCAGGCTGTATGTGCGACACATAATATTTCTTGGCGTAAACCTCGGTCGCATTGAGAGGACGTGATTTCTTCTTGCCTGACTTGATAGCAATGTCACCAATCAGTTTGCTAACAACGGTGTTCCCAGTGGTGTTTGCTCGGCGACCAGCTTTCGAATTACCAAAGTCATTCCATAGCTTGACGGTTAAACACTAGTTTCATACGTGATCAACCCAGTATTCGAATACACTGATTAGGAAAATAATAATACTGTCTGAAGCGCATCTCTTGCCTTAGCTATCTCCTCGAGCTTCATCTCCTCATTTACGGGCTCCTCTTCAAGAATAATTGGCCATTTTTCTTCCCATTTCTCGAAGAAGGGAGGCCAGAAATTGGTATAGTTCCCATTCTTTTTGCATTCGAGGAAACTCTCATGGTAGGTGAGCACGAAGGCCTGCTGCTCCCCCGAAAGCCAACTACGTGGTGCCATCTATGATCTATCTGAGTTGTCGTGTCACGTTTTTGCTGAGTTGGCACTTCGTGTGGGATGCTCGAGATCAAAGTCGGACGCAAAATGAAAGGTATCAGGCAGACAATGCGTAGTTGCACCAGCCACAGACGCGTGTACTCACAAATCATTAGTCAGTTGTCCTTCTATGTTGTTCTTGGGCGAATCACTGTCAATAATGTCAAGGGTTAGGGTCTAGTATCTTGGAATTTCCAATGGACGCAGCACGTACACCATGTTCGAGGCACATACATTATTCAGACATCGTAACACAGAGATATTTAGCAAAAGTCAGATATTGATTGTCATGATGAGAATAAAAAGTATTGTAAAGCGCTGCAATGTAAGGAACCTGCTGCATGCAACGAGGCAAAGTCCAATTTGAAAATGAGAAGCGGTCGCTGAGTCCAAAGTGATGGAGCTTCTTCCTTGATGTGAAGAAAGCCTAGAGCTGTCTGTTACAGTCACTACGTGAGCCCCCAGCTACTCGACCAGCCCTCTGCCACCTTGCACGGCAACGACACGATAACCGGGCCTTTAGGCCTTGATGATAGATGATAGATAAAAGAGAAGTCCGGAAGATGCCGGATTAGGTAAGCGATCTGGATCGCTTACATGATATGACGACATAGGTCTAGAAGACCTATTTATGTTATCAAGATAGAAGGCAAGCCTCGTGTTGCCTCATGTACTGATAGAAGGACGCCTCGCGGTCCTTATCCTAGATAGAAGCCTGCCTCATGCATGGTATCTCTGACTCGATAGATAAGCAGATTAGAACCCAGCTTCAAGCTGAGCTTAGATACGATAGAGTAGCCTTATATAAGGTCGACGATTAAAGTAGATGTTCCTTACTTTAATCCTACTGGGTTTTACCTCGAACTCCTTGTCTTGCTAAAGCTACCTGCTTGACATCAGATCCGTACCTTCAGAAGGACTTGAGACCCCTTCTGCCTGTAAACCGCTATCATTGTTCGCCTCCGCAAACGTACGCAACTCCTGCTCTTCTGTGGGAGCCAACCTCGGACTCTCAGCACGTGGTATCACTGTCGTGATCGTCGCTGTTAGATCATCCCAGTTCGCACGCGACTTACCGTCGTAACACTGTCCACTTCGGCCCATTTATTCTTGTGGCTGATTTGAAGGTAAGTACAATCTTGCTATGGACTGGGGGCGTAGTATGAGGCCAGGCTGCCGAGCTTACTGGAAGTATCCACGCCACAGTTCTAAACCTCCACCTAGGGTATGTATCCTTAGTAAAAAACGCACGCATGTTGTTCAGATATTTCCTTCGGAAAACAGTGAGCATCGCTAACCGAATACCGATAAAAGCGAAATGCACAGATTTGGTGCCTGGCGGATGATCAGCTGCAAGACGTTAATCGCTGTTAGAACCTGAGGAGTCTGCTTGGTCTGTTTACCTGGCGAATGATCAGCTGCAAGACGTTAATCGCTGTTAGAACCTGAGGAGTCTGCTTGGTCTGTTTGCCATGATGAATGCTTGCAAACCGCGGAATGTGGAGGCTGGGATCAAGCAGTAAGGGTAAGCAGCAAGGGTAGTGATATGCGAGAAATGCTATACTATGGTATATCTAAGGAATAGCAACTGTCATATTGTCTTGAGCGATTTGATGCTTCAGTCCGCGTTGTCCATGTACCTCAATCAAATGGCCGACCCCCACTATGGCATGAGTGAGTACATCATCCACAGCTGTGAGAACCCTACAGACTCGAAATACGGAATCCTGTGTACGACTGAGGTCGCAACCAATCCCGCGCTTCTCAATAACATTGTCTACCACAGATTGTGCATGTTGATGAAGGTTTTCTAAGATGCCAATAGTGGTCTGCATAACGTCCAATGAATCAGGATTGTTCGGGTGAGAAACGAAGTACTTGCAAAGGCCCTCAACAAAATTTGCTGTGCTCGAAGACCCGGTGACAGCCTGCAAGCGTGCATCAATATCAGAACACTGTGTGGTCCTTGAATTGAATGATTAAGGTAAATGGAATGCTCCTGAAATGAATATCGAATAACATACCAACATTTCAATCGAGATTTTTCCTGTTTTTTAGCACGTAGCTCATCACGGTGACTAAATGGAAACGACTGGTCACCGACCATCTCACCAGTGAGTCGTCACAACATACCATTCGTAATACACCTGTCTATACCTACGTCTCGCTTCACGTTTCTTGTCAGGGGTGTCGTGTATGCAAGGCCTTCCTACAGGCATTGATGGAGCACTGCACAGATTGTATTGAGTGCAGTTCGGATCAGGTATGTGTCTCTCACCTATCTCGTTTTGCCTTGGTTGTCTTTGTTTCGGGGGCGAGTAATTTGTTGCGCTGACTGAAAAACATCATTTGTTCAACTGTCACTAAGACCGCTGACCATTGAAACATACCGTGCATTGTAAGCACGCCGATAAGTGCATGCGGCCTCTAATTTCTCTTCTGGGGTGTTGTATAGTCGTGGTTTTGCCATAGTATTAGTATAGTTTCAAACTGAGTGGCTTGGTATTAGCTTAGTGTCAGTTCAGTATTTGCGCATGAGTTTCAAACACTTTCGAGGTAGGAAATAAATTGGGAGATTTACGCATTCAATTCAATATCTGTCTAGTTCAAACTCGAAATGAACCAAATATCAGTCATTTGTTTAAGCTACAGTCCCCAAAGATCTCAGGTAATGTCTCACTCAACAACAATGAGGATATTAAACATGTCTATCCTATTGTGCTCTGCTCAATTTTCTCAATGTGTTCCCCTGCTTGCACAACAAAATAGCTTGATATTGACAACCGAACAATGTGTGTACCAGCTAATACTAAACTACCTGCGCCGCCTCGCCACGTTCTATGGCGCGCCTCAAAATCCCAGCACCTTTCTCAACAGATTCTACCTTGTGATATATGGCACGCGAAACACCAAGTACCTTGGGGCCGGTAGCGTCCCTGCGCAAAAACAATCAGTGAATGTAATAAATGAAGCACATTTAGACTTACCACCCTGAGAAGACCCCAATGTAGCGACCTCTCGTGATATAGTAGAGTGGCGCCTTGACTTCAATAGGCACATTGAAGTACTTGCCGTGGTAATACAGGAGGGTAGAGTCCTCAGCGAGAGATGCAGCTGCATTAGCTGCATCCTTGTCGACAGAGGAGTCTTCCTCTTCAGAGTCCAGGAGGACAGTAACGAGGGCAGAAGCAGGCACCGCAATAGTAGTAGGGGAAGGTCCGGAAGGAGCTGCACTGATGGGAGGGGAAGGAATCACAGTGGTAGCCACAGAGCTTTTGGCAGCAGGTGCAGAAATGTCGATGCTGAAAGTGTCCGTCACATTAGCAACATGTTCTGGAATAGTGTAGAAGCGGTGTTAGTCATGATAAATCAAAGAAACAGATAGATTCACCTTCGGCAACTGCTTGACCGGTACCAGGCAACAACGCATCAGATATCACCTTCCTGTCATAGAGACTAAGTCCCTGCAGGATGTCTATAAGACTATCCAGTCGAAAGGACACTAAAGTGTCCGTCTGACTGGAAGGGGCTGGGATTTGAGTCATCACAACTGTAGGCTGGATATTGAGCAGGGGAGTATGCGACAATGAATAATACATCACTCACCAAGACAGTTATTTATGCAGCCAAGGTGCGGTCGTAATTCGTGATCCTCAAGAACACATTGTAAGTAAGTCCGTGGACATAAGAGACAGAACGGGAATTGACTTGGATGGAGTGAAGCAAAAACCAGCTGACTAAGCTTGTGCGGATCACCCGGATCACCCAATTCACATTTCCGTCGTTCAGACCAGCTGACTAAGCTTGTGCAGATCACCCGGATCACCCAGTGATTCACCTTTCCGTTGTTCGTGCAATGATCATCTGAGTCATGTCTCTATCATTTGGACCTTCAAAAAACTGACTGTTATTCGCCGTTTACTGTTCACAGGTACTAATATTACTACTTCGAGCCTTCAAGTTTGCCCAACGCCCCAATACCAGAACCATTTAGCAGGTTTGATACCCATTTTATTTTTCTCGCGACGAAGCTTACATAATGTCTGGCTATGAGGTAATGAGCTTGCGCAATCACATCTAGTATGTACATTTTATTATCCACTTGAATCTGACACTATAGGTTGATTTACTTACCTTGGTGTCTACGTATCAGGGTTGCAGCGCTGGTAGGCGCATAAGTCATTCGAGTCAAAGACGACTGCAAGGATTCCATACTGCCTGTGAGCACCGATTAATATTTTTATCTGTGTCTTTGGTTGTACTCACGCAAACAATGGTAGGGCAGCAAGAATCGTTGACAACCATAATGTCAGTGAGTACATTTTATATTCAAAGCCAAAAGAAGCTTACAAATTCTTGATTCTCCCTCCAAGCTTCTTTTTGGCTTTAGAGACTCAAACACTGACCCTGGTTGATGAGTGTTGGTTACAATGTCTCGGAGACGCTCAGCAAAGAGTTCCCAGGTCGAACGAACTCGTTTCATACCCTCCTCCGCCGCTAATTCTCCGCTGTTACGGCTTCGCACAGGAGAAATCACCACTGAGGGTCGCACTCAACTGCACACTTGTTATGTTCCTGCACCCTCGCTCCATGTCTTCGACTCTCTAGATACTGGTTCTGATGCAGGTCCGTTTTGCAGAGGCGACTGGGATGAAATTCCACTGGAACAAGGGGGGTCGCAGCAAATGCTTTGTGAACCCTCATCTGACAGATGCAAACGCACTGCTGCAGTAAGTACTGTCGCCTATTATTGTTATTCTAATTGATTGATTATGCCTTAGGATACACCACTCTTAGCGTGGATCCCCGAGCGTCAATTTTTTTTGGATGAAACCCTTCGCCTGGAGGGTCGCGGAACTCCAGAAAGTCTCTGTTGTTGTGGTCTTGCTGCCCCTCGTTTCAGATGTCGCGACTGCTTTGGCACACAGATGTTTTGCCACGAGTGTGTACTTCACAACCACACAAGGAATCCTCTGCACAGGATTGATGTACGTAGATATTTTTATTATTCTATCAAAGACTAACGAGTGCCTATAAGATGTGGAATGATTCATTCTTTCAGCTCACCTCCCTGAAAAAACTGGGTCTACGCATACAGCTAGGGCATACTCCTGGCGAAAGATGCTACAATCCTCGAACCTCCTCTGGCGATGAATTTATCGTCATCGACGTCCACGGTGTCCACGAGATTGCACTGGATTTTTGTGGGTGTGCGAGTGCTCAAATTCGCTACAAACAGCTACTCCGCGCCCGCTGGTATCCAGCAACCATATTGGACCCTCGCACTGCTGCAACCTTTGCTTTACTGGAACATTTCCACCTGTTGTCATTCGAAAGCAAGGTTTTGGCTTACGAATTTTACCACTCACTAGCAAGACGGAATAATAACGCTGGCCTGTCGGATATAAGGGTATGTATTCAAAAGATGTAATGTCTACAGGATACTGACATGTGATATTAGGATCGCTACTCTGCATTCATGTGTATGGTCCACGAGTGGCGGCATCTGAGGCAGCTTCGGCGTGCAGGGAGGGGACATGACCCTGGTGGCATCAATGCCACTACCACGGGTGAATTAGCTGTGCAATGTCCAGCGTGTCCCCACCCTGGCAAAAATTTACCGCAAGGTTGGGAGGATCAACCGCTATCAGTTAGGTCAGTCCTAAGTCTGAATTGGCGATTACAGTACCGCATTCATGCTGATGGCTTATTTTGAAGGTGGAAATATGCATTGTTCATTGCGATTGACGCAAACTTTAGGCTAAAACGCAAGGCAGTATCATCGGATAACGTAGACCCCAGCCTCAACTCTGGGTGGGCTTATTTTGTCGAAGAGGTTGCCTACAAGTCATACCTGGCCGATCAAGCTGGCGTCAAGCAAGATGTAAGTACATTATACTATTATGGGATGCAACATCTGACTAGTATACAGCGCAGCATGTGTGTCAGTCACAACGCTGTTAATTTGGCAGACATGAAGTCCTCGCATGGTCTGGCTGCAACAGGCGTTGGTGCGGTAGACTGTGCCAGGCACGATATGAAGCTTGCCAATGGTGTCGGAGATTTGCAGAAGGGTGAAAAGTGTGTCATGTTTTCATCTTATATCGTACGATTACTAAATGTTTGTCATATTTAGATATATTAACATGGACTATCTTGTGTTCTCAGCATTGTTGGCCTTTACAGTAACCATGGTCAACATCTCGTACGATATTGCCTGCCAATGGCATAAAAAACTCTGGACGCGCATGGAAGGCATGCCATCCCGGTTGCACATCCCTCACAACTCGATGACCGTCCGATTTTTCGTGCCGAAGTTTCATCTGAAGGCACACATCGAAGAATGTCAGAGAAGTTTTTCATTTAACTGGACCAAACATGTTGGACGAACAGACGGGGAAGCTCCTGAGCGAGGGTGGTCAAATATTAACCGTGTTGCGACGAGTACAAAGGAGATGGGGCCAGGCTTGTGGCACGATACTCTTGACGACCATTTTGGGGATTGGAACTGGAAGAAGGTCACAGCATTAGGTGTGTTCTGTTTCTCATTCAATTTTCTTTGCCTCACACAGCAATAGGCCGTACACTGTTGCGCAAGATAGGTGACGCTATCAAGTGGAAGAGGGAGCACGGAGAGGCACTCGGAGAACTAGAGAAGACCATCGAACCGACACTGATCCTTCAGTGGATGAGGGAAGTGGAAGCTTGGGAAAATGATAACTCTCAACGCAATCCGTTTGAGAGCCGTTTTGCTCGTGAGTCGTGTTCTTTTGTTCTACAGTTCACAAACTAATTTATGGTAGCCATTACACAGGCTTCCGTATGCCTACAGCTTGCTGAGCTCGAAGCTCGCGAGCTTCAGGCTGGGATCAACGTGTCTCTGCACACCAACATCTCTCCAAGCAGGCTAATCACCAGTGGTATTGATCTACAGGACCAACAGTAAGTTTGCTAATTAGTCTAAGAAAACTATGCTAATCAGAAAACTTGACAGGCAGCGCCTCAAGGTGGACATTGCCAACATGTCTCTTCACCCCACGGACAACCAGAAGACAAATTTACAGACACGTATTACCACCCTTCAACGTCGCATTGATGCCTGGGCCCATATCCAGGAATTGTACATTCCTGTCGTTTCGCAATTTCACCATCGATCGTCTGACGCTAGCGTGTCGAATACTGCGGTGCTGAGGCCCGAGACCTTTAAGCTATGGCTTCCATCCGAGCTCGAGCCAACAGCCATGTGCGACGAGAGGTTGGCTGCCCATGAATGGGAGTTACGGCATGCACAAGCACTCGATTCTCTCAATGAAATCCGTTCACATCTTCGTCTTCGGTCGCACATGTACATTTACAAGGACAGAAATGTCCGCGGTCAAGCCACTTCCACTCGCGCACAGGCCCTCATTGATGGTGTCGAGGTGAGGAAACAAGCCAGTGTCGAGAAGTACCGGCGTGCGCGTAATGCACTGTTAGCTCTCAGTCATCGACTCGACAAGTCCGGCTGGGAAATTTCCCTTCCACGGCTCTTGGATTCGGATGTCCAGCCTACTGTAGCATTTCGACCTTAGGTTCGTGGGAATATATGCACTGCATTACGTAACGGGTTTGTGACATGTTCGTCGACCTTTGCGACATGCGACGAACCTAATTTAGGTTCGTCCGAGGCTCCAAAGTTATGCATCAAGGACCTCCGAGTCGCAAGTTCGGCCATCAATGTCCTCGCTTAGTACTCTAGGAGTTGCACTTCTGTGAGTCGTCAATGCTTGCCATCAATGTCCTCGCTTAGTGCTCTGGGAGCTGCACTTCTGTTGTGACTTCAGATCTGCCTAGGCCGCTTTGAATAATATAAACATTACTGCCAGGTATGTTTCCTGCAATTTGGTTTTTCACTGTTACTCATCATGTTTCCTCATAGTGATCTAGTTCTCAGATTTCCGCCTGTCCTGCAGGATCACCATCACCTGTTGACACCACCCCCTTACTTTGCATCTTTCATCCCTCTTCCCAATCTCTCAATATCAGCCCTCGTCAAGCTGATGATGGTGCAGAAGGTGATGCCGACACCAATTTGGATGAAGACCATGTTGCCGATGTTGATGAACAGCCTGGTGACGAGGCCCCATTGTCGCTCCTGCTAGAGTTCATTGCATCAGGCAAGGATCGTGTACCTGACGGGTACATCACTGATGCAAATGGTTCGCTTCGCATTGATACAGCTGCTGACATGTTCGAAGAAGTTGTTGTCGCTGGAGAACCTGAGGTCTTTGGGAGAGGAAAGCGGAGGCATCTTGCTAACAAGCAATACAATGCAGACGAGCAGCATTAGTATAGGTTATAGGTCATATTTTCTACAAAAATTGCATACGAACATAATGTCACAAACTTAGGTTCGTCCACCCTTTTTTTGTGTGACTGTCACAAAAAATAGGTTCAGTTCGTCAGGCTAGCGACGTTGTGACAAACCTAAGGTCGAAACACTACAGTATGGGCAATATGGAGAGACAAGGGACTGGTACCATCTCGTGGATCTGGCTAGATTCGCGCACAGATAACACTAATTCAGAAAATGACCGAGTTCAGGACTGTGAGTCTCCGAGATCGAAGTTGGAGTGATACTAACTCAATGTGATAGGCGTTCGAGTAGAGTGGTGTAAAGCGCGTGCACGCGTAAATCGGTGGTCCGAAGAAGTTGATCTCCTGCTCGAGGAGATGCGAAGAGTCACAGAGTTTTTGAAGTGGCAGGCAGGGTGGTGGGGTGAACGGGTTAATGCTCGTGTGCTGGAGTCAGCTGAACAGGAGGGAGTCGCTGCATATGCCTATCGTCAGGCTGCACTACGCACATCTCTCGTTGCCTCCTTTCAGCACTTGTGGAGAGACGTACCCAAGAGTGTAATCGCTCTGAGCATTCCAATGGACAGCAAGGATGTCCCACCTACTATTGATGCACGGCCCCGGTTGCACGATGATCTGTAGTCAGTAATACATTAGCTTGTTGATATGTCATTCATTTCATGTTTTCAATATCACGCTCAGATCAGAAGTTTGAGGTTCGCAAGGCACCAAGATCTGTCATGAGATCGAGAAACAGTTCCATGCTTAGTAACATAGTATAGAAGATCGAGAAACAGTTCTATGCTTAGTAACATAGTATAGATGGGACGGACTCGGACTGTAAAGCCAAGTAGTATGATGTATCACCAGGTCCTACAGCTCAGAGTCATTTGTGTATCACACGTTTACTACAGTATGAGTAAGTGATACATCATTCTCCCAGCTACTGGTGTTGGGCGGTCCCAACGGTATGCATTATGAGCATTTCAACTGTACTGAGATCGTACCTGTCTAGCGTGTCCTGAAGCTCCCGCTCGAATATTATCTTCACAGAGTCTACTACCATGAGTAACTTGCAGCTCACCGATTCCCCACTACTATTCCTTTGGTACCGTATCGTATTGCAATTGGTTGTTTCGATGTCTAATAACTGATAGCAAGAACTATTTACTGTAGTAAATCCTAGTGGTAAGGTACATTGCGGAGTTTCAATGCACTCTAGCTCGTCGAGGACGCCCGAGGTTGGACTCCAGAGCCGGCTTGGAGCCGGCGGTTTCAAGACGCTAATTCAGTGACTCTGAGGATGATTTATCGATCAACTGCTGACTGCATCTGTCCCTGCGACTTGTCTGTGTTCGACTGTCCTGCACACATTCGCACCTGGCGATTACGTTTTTGTTCATCCCGGATTCATTTGCGTTTGCACGCGTGTAAGCTAGGTGCGTCTTTTTTCACTTATCTCTGTATGTACATCACTGCTTGTGTGCGTCTTTACTTTTCAGCGCTGCACTTTGTTCGTATTCACGTGCTTGTGCACATCTACGCTCAACGTGTCTTAGGCTGCGCTCCGATGGTCTTGTGAAATCTAAGGCTCGATTTTCAGTTTTTTTTTGGATTTACAACCATTACTGATCATGTATACAGTATCCTTGCACCTTGCTTTACTTGTCTCCGCACGCTGCCGCTAATTTGTGCTTACCTACATTGTTCCCGGCATATAGGCGCATTTATGTATATCTATCTATGTACATTGCATCGTCATCGTAGTAATTCAGTGCATGGGCCGCTGCCTGCTTGGGCCCAAGCCCCGACTTTGACCCGGCTTGGGCTCACGGCTTCTATGAAGCAGGCTGTGAACATGTATTATCGTGGAATCATACACGCCATTGATGACTGTGAAAACGGTCAGTCATCATTCTGCGCGGAGCGCGCAAGAGTGTCGATAACAAAATAAGCACTCCCGGTCTACAAAGAAAGAAGATCCGTGATCAGCTGCATGCTGGAAGGTAAATTGAATTCCATCATTGGACACGTGTTAGGTCACTACCTTTCGGATAAACACAGGAGGTGATTAGAACAGATGCTCACGTCTACACGTTTAGCTTGGCCCCATCAAATTAGACTCGTGACCAGTCTACTATCAAACGCGCTCTTGAGGCGCCGGCATGCCCAGAGTCACAAGCGTCCCGTTATCATTCTGAAGTACTTTAACTCCTACATCTTGGGAAGAGTAAGGCACATAGAAGCATCCACATGAGCGAAGGTGCAGGCAAGAGCGATGGAAGAGATAAGATACAAAACCAATATGCAAGGTGGTCCAATCCACAACAGGGTGGATGAGCAGATAGTTCCCTGCTCAGATGGGCTAGAAACACGACGAGACTAACTTGCTGCATGAATAAACTTAACAGGGCAGCACAGAAGCATTTTCGGATGTTCCCTACCCATGGCCAACTTCCTCACTGGACCCGTCTTCATTGCATGTGGATGCGCACAAGGATCTAGGCCCTCAGAGCCCACCGAGTTACTAAGTAGCCGAAGATAGCCTAGGGTCACGAAAAATTGAGAGAAGAAGAAATGAAAGGGCAGCAGGCAGGTTTGGGCTTGTCGATGCGTGGCGCGAGCATTGTCGGAACATGATATAAGTAGCGCAATCGGAAATGGAAATACAACTATGCTTGAGTGGCGTCGTTAACGTCCACCTGCTCCACCATGTCAGGGAATTCGCTGATGCTATGTGCACCTCTTCTCCTTGGTCTAACGTCCACCCGCTCTACCATGTCAGGGGATTCGCTGATGTTACGCGCATCTCTTCTCCTTGGTCTAACGTATTCCCACTCAGGAGTAGAACTTCTGCGATCTCTGGGCTCTCTAGAAATTCTGGTAGCGGGAATTCTGGTATTGGGAATTTCGGCACTGGAAACTCCACTCGGTAGCGGGAATTCTGGTATTGAGAATTCTGGGAATTTTAGTATCGGGCGTGGTGATAGCAGGATTTCTGACATCGGGCGTGTGGGTTCATGTGGTGGCGGTAGTAGGATTTCTGGCCTCGGGCGTCTGAAGTCATGCTGTGGCGGTAGCAGGATTTCTGGCATCGGGAGTGTGAATTCGTGCGGTGGCGGTAGCAGGATTTCCGGCCTCGGGCGTTTGAATGCATGCGGTGGCGGTGGCAGGATTTCTGGCCTCGGGCGTCTGGATGCATGCGGTAGCAGTAGCAGGATTTCTGGCCTCGGGGGTGTGAATTCATGCAGTGGCAGTAGCGAGAATTCTGGTCGTTGAATTCTGGGAGCCTCTATGGTAATTCTGGGAGACTCTCTGGTATATCGGTGAATTCTGGTAGCGTGAATTTCGGGACTGAAAATACTGGTAGTGGGAATTCCAGCATCGGGAATATTAATACTGGAACTCTGACCCAGAAGTTCGGGTTGAAGCTCAAAGCTTTGTGTCGCATTGGTGCTATAAGATTGCACCACCTCAACGATTTTATCCCGATCTACGTTATCCAGGATGGTCAATTGCCTATCACAGGCCTGAATCCAGGTACGAGCCTCTGCTCTCATTGGGGAGGCAAGGTAGGAAGAGACAGCGAGCTTGATGGTACTGTGGGAGATTTCCTGGCCTCTTGACACAGAATAAAGTGTCTGCGACACAAGCGTTAAGTTGACGATGTAGGACATGAAGTGCTGAATCAGTGGCGCGTGGCCGAAAAAGTGTCGATATCCTTTGGTAGGTTCAACTTCGACCATTTTTGATATCGATTGCCTGAACTTTTGGCTGTGCAAGTTCTATGCGCAAATCACGTTAGGGCGGATGCGAAGATGACAAATAAGATGGCCATTACATGATGAAGGTCATAGAAGTTCCACCCATCGATGATGTCAGTATGAAGCGCATGTAGAAAATTCCACATCTTGTGCTTCTTGAATACTGCGCAACAACATGAAAATGTCTTCCGATATCCTGCAAGACAAGGAGAATTAGATTGTATTCAGTAATTATTAACGCGAAACTGGGACAGACTTTTCTTGGCAATCCTGACACTACGTAAATCACGAGATAAGAATGGAGCAAGCAAGACTCACTCGAATGATGCCTTTATTTTGAGTTCAGGATCCACTCGTTGAGCGACTCGGATGGAAGTCATCACCGCAGCCTTGGACGCAGAACGCTCAGTGACACAGTTTTCAGTTATCCGAATCAGGAGGGTGAGTGTCTTCTTATAATCTTCGTTAGCTGCAATGTTGCACTTCAGAGGCACGCATGGACTTGATGAAGTGTTGGTACACACAGGAGATCGCAGCGTGGGGAATATTAAACCCTGCAAATTTCCCTAGAGGTCTGATGCAGATATTCTGCAGCTCAGCTTCTGCGTTCTTCTTTGCGAGTTCCTTGATGGCTTCATTGCTCAATTCTTTGAGGCAGGTTTTATCTAGAGTTGACTGTATGTGATCAATGAACCTATCGTATTTAGTAAGAACGACAATGACGGGAACTTTGACAAAGTGTGAGCTCCAACGTAGGAGAGAGATAGTAACCGCTTCACTCACCGTTTCCCAGTATTCCTCCATTCTCTTGTCTATAAAACGTTCGCCTGTACGGGGTGTCTCAAGGCAGAGCCTTCCGTATATTTGGTCAGTCCACCATAATCGAATGGTCGAGATAGAATACCTACCAAACAGCATGCAACTGATGTTCTGGGGACATGTTCCTCCGATGGTCAATGAAATCTCGGATTTTTACGAGGTTGTCTTTGAGTCCAAAACCTTTGCTACCGTGGAGAACAAACTTGTCGTTTTGAGGTGAGGTGAATTCATGATCAATGCTGGCCCCAGGCAAATCGATCTATTGACAGTGTGAATAGCTGTGCTTGTTGAAGCGTCGCATCCCACCATTTCTTCCACTCCAAATACGCGGCTGATCAATGATGACGTACCGACGCCAGTCTGTTAAAAGCACGGCATCAGCACTAGCCTGAGATCGGAGAAAGCCAGATACCTCTCCTAACACCAGAATTCGGAACCTTTGGAGTGTCAATCTCAAGAATGACACTTGACGATCATCCTGACTTACCGAGGAATAGTTGTTGTATTCCTGGAAAACTGGACGTCGATTCTGATGTTGTGATGATGCGTGGTGTAGTCTACGCATGTGTGGTTGAGTTCGTGAGTGACAAAGGTAAGAATGCGATGATTCTGGCTCCACCTTGTCCTTGGCTTGTACCATACGCATGGAAGATCTCATCTGGGTTCAAAGGAAAATCTTCGGTCTTCCTACTATACCATAACGCCTTGTCAAGGCAATCCATATGTAAGGAGAACGTATCCCCGTAAGAAAGCACCCTAGAGCAAAAGCACAATAGTAACTTAGATGAGAACATGTGTTGGGGTCGAGTACTTACATGGGTGGAGAAAATGTCCATCGCAATCTCTTTTTTCTTTTACATCCAATCAGTGGCACACTCTGCGGCACACTTAAATCGCCCATGCACACTCTAGCAGACTTTATATCCATTTTTGACTGCTTGAAATCGACGGTAATACCTATATTGGATATATTCAGCAGAGTTGATGATACTACTTTAACCTAATAACAATAATTGAGTACCAGAGATGTTGAGAGGACAGGGAACCGTTGAGGCGTGAAAAGTATTAGCCATACTGATTTGATTTAGGGAAACTCTGAGCTACTGTGAATTTATACAGAGGTTAATGAGCGTCAGCGCTTCAGCTGTGGTACCCAGTAGATATTAAATGGAAACGGCCCCGGCCTGCAATACCAATTGCCCACAATCTAGACGCTGACTTCGGGTTGGGTATCTATATCAACGCCGGGTTGCAATGATTGCAAATCGTAGCAGCAGATAGAAGCCTACGATTGGAATAGTGAAACATCGGCATAGCCTTCGGAACATACCGTGATACATCACAATGATGCGCTCACTACTTCCTTGATCTTCCTCTCAGCCTTGTTGAGATAGTCCAAACTGTACCTACAATAGGGTACAGTTGATGGATTGCAGACATCAGAAGGTACGCATGTCGTCACCAAGCTTTCGGATTGGGACAACTGTTTCAAGTCATCGCTGTCAAACGGGATTAGAACAGACGCTCACATATACACATTTAGTTTGCCCGGAGTCTCGTTCCCATTCTCACTGTCAGGAAGTACTTTGGCTCCCAAATCTTGGGAAGAGTATCTTGTTTTCATGAACGTCGGAACGCTCGAGAGATAAGACCAGCCTACCTATTCTCAGTCTACCCTCGTTGTATTAACGCTCGCCAGTGAAATAAAATAGTGAACAGGATGCATATGATACGCCCATCTAATCATGCGCCTGCTAGTACTTCTCTGCATCCTCCTCGTTGGAATGACCCAAGCCGCACCTACAACAGATACAACAAATGCTACTACTAGCGACAATTTTAAAGCACCGTCATTCACGACAAGAACTCTATGGAGCATCATTTCTAGCTCCGTTCTCACTCTTTTTGCATGCGTCTACACTGCCATCCACCCCAATATTCCGAGTCCTAAGCACAGCGCCCACCTTCATGACATATGGCGACAACTTCGCATGGTGATAATGGCATTAATAGCTCCTGAATTGATCGTCGCCTGGGCTATGCGACAGTGGTTCAGCGCTGATAAAGTTACAAGACAGTTCAAGGAATTGGAATATCCAAGAGTTCGTCCAGAGTCTGAAGGTGAGTTGGGCATTTGAAAACTCTCTATCTCACAACTCACTATACACGTCCTTAGTAAAGGAGTCTGTTGTAGCACCCGGAACTGAAAATCGCTTCCTTCTCCAAGACATTCTCTTGGCTTTCGTTTGCCTCTCTCGCCTGCTCGCTAAAGGCATATTATCTGTGCTGATGTCTCTTTGGCGTGTCCTTTGTGCTCCTGTGAAGTGGGCTGTGCGGTGGATTAAGACGGGGAAATCCGAGTCTGGCTTGGAAGGCAAGCCTGATTCGTGCTCACCTAAACGTTGGCTCATGTGCATCCTTAGATTTCACGTGGACTCAGACGCACAGCTTCTTTGTGTTGATGGGTGGTTTCATGCTTTATGTGAATGGGAAACCCCACCGTACAGCAAGCCGTACACTACAACCTGATCACATTCTCACACTAATACGTCAGAGGTGTATCGACGTCCCTATCCTAACGGCAGACCAGATCCACGATAGGAGCAAAGGCAATGCGATATCAAAAGGATTGGTCATCCTTCAAGTAGCCTGGTTTGTTATGCAGCTCATAACCCGCGCCATCTATCGCCTAGAAACCACCCAGCTCGAAGTGGGCACACTCGCTTTTGCGGTTCTCAATTTCCTAACTTATGCTGCGTGGTGGGACAAGCCTCTCAATGTGCAATGTCCACATCCAGTGTACTGGAAGTCAACCAAGTCGAAGCCAATCATGACGCCAGAGTATCACATTGGGTATGTATGCGCTTCAACAAGTAGACCGCTACTGATTACTATGTATAACTCAGTGTCAGTGAAGAAGATGATATCGCTCAGTTTGGGATCTTGGCTCCAGTCTTGCGCCCAATTCTAGAACTGATAGGCTTTCCCGGTATTCCCACATCTCGAAAGCTCCAAGTTCCAACGTTTGATGGTAGCATCGAACTCGAACAACTGCACAAACATGTTCTTTTGCTCGCTGGAGTGCTTATGGCGACTATTTTTGGCGGCATCCATTGTATGGCTTGGTTTTTTGCTTTCCCAACATACCAGGAACGGGTGCTATGGCGCATGAGTGCCGTCGCTATAACTTGCACGCCCTGGCTTGGTTTACTCACGGCACCGCTCCTTGCAGCTCTGGATGCGTCACTTACATGGTTTATCCTGCTCTATGTACCATATATCATGTTGTACATCACAGCTCGTGGTGTCCTCTTGGTACTGATGTTCACCACTTTACGCGATCTTCCTCATGACGCATACCAAACGGTGTTGTGGACTAGTTTGGTGCCGCATTTATAGTTCCTGATCACGGCACTTGTAATACACTTCGTACTTATCTAATTATATTCAGATGCAGTTGTGTGGTCGACGATGGACTTAGGTACACCCAACAGCTATGAACGACGCAATCACAGCAGGCGTGGCATGAGACTAATCGAATAAACCTCTACTCAAGTCTTGGAACTTGCTCATCACCTGGACGGTAGCGAAATAGGGCTGTTTGGTACGCTGCAGTTGGTGAGACGGATGACTGATGAGTAGGTAGCAACGTTCCCAATCAACGAGGAGATAATTACATTTGGACTTGACCCGGCGTGCAGCGTCCGTCTATTACCCATGGATCAATGCTCAGCAAGTGAAAATTGTGTCTTTGGAAAGACTCAGGTGCGAAGAATGTTATCAAAATCTACTGAACTACTGGAACTTGCTGGCGGATTTTTCGATCTCATCGTTCTTTTGCGACACAGGCCTCAAGGCCTCACCATCGACGGCTGCCCCGTGCTCCCATCCACCAACACCTTATTTCCCGTATATAATAATTACTGTCTCTAACAACTGCAAAATCGAAATACAAAAGAAACGTTACATATTTTCCTACCTGCCCAGTAGCTACGTTCTTCGCTTTACAAGATCCACAAGCTTGATCTCAACCTTCGACCAGAGAACCTAAGAGAGCCTTAGAGAGGTGATTCTGTATCCAAGGAGGCATGACAACTTGATTAAATTAGATTTTCTCTAAAAAATGGACGGATGGCGTGGAGATGGCGAGCCAAAATGAATAGAAAAAACACTGATTATGTATAAAAATAAAAGTAACATATACAGGAACTTCATTGATCAGAAACCCGGCCATCCGAAACGTTTCGATGTTGGGGGCGCGGTGGTGTAGCGCCTTCAGTACAATGTGACTCAGAATTCCTGGAAGATTCCATAGGTACCTTGCAAGGCCCATCTGCAATGCAAGATCATTCCAAGGAAGTGACCTTTACAACGCTCTGGACATGATGCGCATGTTCAGGACAACGCTACGTCGGAGGCAGTCTTCGTCCATATGGCATCAGTGAATTGATGAGTCCTCGATATTGTAGCCGTGGGAAGTATAGCACGATGTAATTCTGCTGCCGCCAAATATTAGCTTAGAGCTAGTTCGGCAACTCGATATTTTCGATATTTTTCAATATTTGCTTTGGCATGTTTGCGAAAATGTTCACCGGCATCGTTCCGAGATGTCGGAGCTCGAACCTTGCTTCTCTCCTACTGTACATATTATCAATGGATGTATACCCTCATCTAACCCTAGAGCGGCGTAAGAGGCTTTTTGCTGGTGCGGTCGCGATCACTGCGATCTGTGCACAGTACACTACTCTTCTCATGGCCCAACCTGAAGTCAATGCTCCCCCTAAGTCCAAGGCGATTCGGAGCTTGAATTTGAGCTTATCAACAAGATCAGTGATAATGAGGGTAGGGTATATACCTTGATGGATCCCCAACCACTGGGGTTCGCGATGGAGCGCCAACGCCTAGCAGCGCTCATGACGAATCCTCGGCCAGAGGTCCGGGAACGACTCCTCAAATGCATGGTACTCGTAATCAGCATCGTTGTTGCTTCTACGCACGGCATCCTACAATCAATATATCCCAAAGATCCCGAGCCCTATCACACTTCAGCGCTAACTGGGCAAGACTGGGTGATCGAGTTGCTCACTGGTCACCCAGAGCGCATCAGGTGTGAGCTTGGCATGCGCGCCAATGCATTTGTGGAGCTTATCTCCGAGCTTCGCACCATGGGCCATTCAGACTCCAAGTTTGTGTCCCTCGAGGAACAACTTGCGATTTTTCTTTACACCTCTGTGACTGGCCTATCAATCAGGCATGTTGCGGAGAGATTTCAACGCTCGAACGAAACGATTTCACGGTGAGTTTATTTTATTTTATTTCAAGTGACAGTATCTAATAGTATGTAGTTATTTCCGCAAGATGCTTATCATCTTCACGTCGGACCCGTTCTATTCAAGATACGTGCGCTTTCCAGATGGTTCGGTCCCCCGCAAAATTCGGAAGAACCCCAAATGGTGGCCCTTTTTCAAGGACGCTATTGGGGCGATCGACGGCAGTCACATCCACGTCACGCCTAAGGCCATCGAACGTCCGGTGTATCGTAATCGCAAGGGCTTCGTGTCGCAGAACTGCCTTTTCGCATGCGATTTCGAGCTCAACTTCACATACGCACTTACAGGCTGGGAAGGGTCGGCCACTGATGCTCGCGTCTACGAGGACGCCTGCTCTTACGACTTTCGCACTCCCGCTGGCAAATATTTTCTTGCCGACGCAGGATATCCTCTACGTCCTGGGTTGCTGGTACCCTACCGAAGCGTGCGTTATCATCTTGCCGAATGGGGTCGCGCCAATATACGGTAAGTTCATTCTCGATTGATTTTCAATGTGCTAAGTACTAAGTTTACAGGCCTTCTAACAAGGAGGAATTATTTAATCTACGTCACGCGTCAGCACGAAACGTCATTGAGCGCATCTTTGGCGTTCTCAAGCAACGTTTTCGCATACTGCTCTTACCACCGGCCTACGCTATGGAGATTCAAGCGCAGATTCCAGCCGCGCTTTGCGCCCTACACAACTACATTCGTCTTCGTGACCCTAGCGAGGGTCATCCTCCTGCTGATGACGAAGATGAAGATGTTGAGGATGGTGGTGGTCTTGGCGCTGACGTGGCCGCGGAGGATGACGCAGCAGCTATTGAGGAGGATAACGAGGAGGAATTTCGTCAAGGAGCTGCGATGCGTGATCGCATTGCAGCAGCGATGTGGACGCAGTATCAGCGCGTCATACAGGAACGGGGTTTAGACGCACTTGATATCATGGACGATGACGAGGATGCTGCTGCTGATGCCGCTGATGATACTGATAGTGATGTGTAGGCTTACTTTGTACTTACTACTGTGCTCCATACTGAACAATGAACAATGAAGTGAGAACGCGCTTGTTATTGACACACAAGAGTTATTCTATTCAGTTCACAGGTGGTAGGTAGTACAACATATAGCAACACAACACAAGAAGTAGCGAGCGAACACACACAGCATGATGAGATTTAAAACATTGAAAACGAATATTGTCCTGCTGGCAGGCGGCTCAGCCCGTCATTTCAGCATCAACACGCGGCGCTGGACCGGCATCACCTGCATCAACTGCCTCGCCGATCAGCTTCCCCACGAATGCACGCCTCCTACTCTTCTCCTGAAGATTCACGTAGAACTTGAGGTAATGTTCATTGCCCTTTGAACCAATGAACATGATGAGAGCAGCCTGCTGGTCCGGCGGTATGTCAGAGTCCTCGCCTTCCAGGATTTTGACGGCTCGCATGACCAGGTCCTCACTACCTTGTGCACCATCAGGCCCTCCTCTGACAAACCATTCAAAGACGTCGGTGAGCCGGTTGATGGTGCCTTGCATCCCCACCACAGCAGCTGCTGGCGTGATCTTTGCAGCCTTGGCGGCACTGCTGATCTTGGTGACACGGCTGTTCTGGGACACCACCGGAGTCCGTGGTTTCTTGGATGGGGGGGCTGACACCAGCGTGGTGGAAGGAGGTCGCATGGACGATGACAAGTGCGTGGAGCCAATTGACTCCATGTCCCCCATCACATCCGAATATGGGCGCTTGCTGGCGTTAGAGCCAGCAGCGGTAGACGCAGCGGTAGACGCAGCGGTAGTAGAGATGGCGGTGGAACGTGCAGGAGTGGAGCTAGTGATGGACGTAGAGGTGGCGGCAGTGCTTAATGGGCCTGCAGAAGCGGGAACAGCAGCAGCGCTTGGAGCAGCAGGAACAGCAGCAGCGCTTGGAGCAGCAGGAACAGCAGCAGTGCTTGATGGGCCAGCAGCATCCGCAAGATCGTTATCAGCATTGGTGGTGGAGGGAGCAGCGCCACCTGGACGGAAGACGTGCCGCCCTCTAGCGCCGCCCAATGGGATGATGGTCTGCATTTTTTCATAATGCTCCCATCCCCTGTTGCGGAAAGGACGCATGAGGTTATTTGCCTGACAAAAGTCAGCGCTCAAATCAATATGACGAAGAGGGGACATACCTTGACATACGATGTCCATACAGCCGCAGCCGCAGTTCCTTCAATCCCAGCTCCAGTCTCATTGTCCCAGTGGACCCCTGTCTGGTTGCGGTACTTCTCGATAGCATGAAATATGTTTTTAAGCTAGATGAGACTCGTCAGCTTAGATCAGATGAGATCAAATAGGGCTTACTGATGTCCACTTGTTTCGAGTTGATTTCGCTGTCTTCAGTGGACCTGCGCGAGTGGATTGAAGCGCCTCATGATTGTTGATGAACTCTGCAGCAGAGCCAAGAACCTGCTGCTTGAAGTTGCCTGCCCCTTCAGCCTCTGAGCGATGATCATAGAGATAGTCTACAAGGGTAACAGTCTCGACATCATTCCACTGCGCTGGTGGGGCCTTGGAGTGAGGGGGAGCATTGACTTCAGGTTGGGCCATGAGAAGAGTAGTGTACTGTGCACAGATCGCAGTGATCGCGACCGCACCAGCAAAAAGCCTCTTACGCCGCTCTAGGGTTAGATGAGGGTATACATCCATTGATAATATGTACAGTAGGAGAGAAGCAAGGTTCGAGCTCCGACATCTCGGAACGATGCCGGTGAACATTTTCGCAAACATGCCAAAGCAAATATTGAAAAATATCGAAAATATCGAGTTGCCGAACTAGCTTTTCTGTTAGCCGTTATGACTCTCATTATTTCTGACCACGACGAGTACCTTCACAGAGGCTTTCGACCGACTTGCGTGTTACCCGTGATTCTCCCTCGCTTCTTACCTATCCGTTTCACCCCGAGGGCCCCAGTTTGTGCTTAGTAGTGTTACAGTAGTGTTTTCTGGAACTCGAATAGCAGAGACTTTGAACCTTCGACCTTCTTTCTGTGTCAGCACACCGTCAACGCCACATGATCTGAGCTATAAATATCTCTTCGGATGGTCTCTTTCGTAAACATGTCAGTGTCTATATGCTCGATAGTTACTCAACTAGGGCCAAGCAGTATTTGTCCATGTTGCGCGCATAAATCACTTTGATCTAGAATATATAGTTGTCTGGACGTCCGCTCCCAGAAGCTACAATCGGACACATGACCTGACGTCTTTGCTTTCCTGAGAAACCACGGATAACTTCTCCTCCTCAGTCCGACACGGCTCGCTCCCATCAAGTCGACAAGAGCCATGAGAGAAGGAACTCCTATGCCCTTCCTCCGATTCTGTATTGCATGGCAATTTTAGGGGCGGGATGATATTGAAAGTGTAAAGTCTTTTCTGCCCCCGAGTCTTCATTCTGAGGATTTGGAGAATCTTCAATGTAACATAAACGTGAGTAAGGGGGATAGGATTATGATGGTTTACTTGGGAAGCTCTAGCCATTTACCTCACATTCGGCCCTGATATTGATCTCTACTTTACCAACGTCCAAGTAGGTGACCTCCTCCCTGACGGGCGTTCATTCCCTATTTCGTGCGCTGAAGTATTATCACTGCTTGTAAATTGTGATATATGGACTTGCAGGGGCTGCATAGGATACTGCTGCACATTGCCCGATTGTCGCGTCTCGACATTTGTCCCTACGTTCGGGAGGTAATTGTGCTGTCTATTGACGGCGATGCGAATGAGCACCATGTAGAAGGCAATCGATATGATCGGCACGGCCTAGTTGATCGACGCTCAGTATGTTTCGATAACAAGCCTTAATTCAAAAGGGATTACCAGGTCCACCATAATAACATCACCGTTGTTCGAGCAGACGTAACAGACCAGTGCAGTGAAAAGTGCCACCGAATATAAAACGGCAGCATCCATGAGCACGTGCATTATTGGCATCATAGTGCTCTTTGGACCAGCGCGATGTCTGGTGATATTACGTTCAATCGTCCATATTCGATAGGCCATTAATCCTGGACACATTCAGAGCCTCTGCATCACGCTCGCAGAAACGAGCTTACCTGAACTCGATGCATTAGCTGCAATAGTCGAGATAAGAAAACCCATGATCCACATTGCAAGATCTTGGGCGAATACGCTAGTACTGGAGCTGGATTGCGAAACACTGTAGACCGCAGTGACGCCAGTGACTGTGAAGCCACATCAGATCACACATCTCCCTTAAGCTGAACATCATTGCGGCCTTACCTGCGACGCTACACCACAGCATGCTTGGTAGGATGATCACCCAAACGGATTGCCAAACAACATAGCAGCGATAAATCTTTTACCAGGCAAGACACTTATATCAGCTCACAAGGTCCTAGACTTGTAGATTAGAGTATGAACTCACCACAACCCCATCAGCAAGTAGAGTTTGCAGGACGTATAATGCATGCTTGATCACATACGTTTCCTCTGAAACGTCCGCAAAGAATGCCCTTGGCCCGCCTGGGTACGTGTCACGATACTTTACCAGTCCATTCTCCACACGAATGATGTTCACGACAATGTGCTTGGTGGATGTCAGCAGGTTCCATGTCAGGCGTAAAAGCAAGGACTCACTACGGTACTCAATAACAATAGCAGGATAGCCACTATGAAGATTGGGCGATTGATGTCTCGCACATGCTGTTTGTAGGTCAAAGACCACATGGTGCCCATAAACATGAGCACTGAAAAGCCTGGAAAGGTGAGTTGACTTTAGCTTGATGGACATAGGGCGAATAAGCCCGATGCGCGATGCTCGCTGTATAAAATGCCTTCTAGCACTGTTGACATTAAAGCGCCGGTATCAAACGGGATATCATTCGAGGTCATGGCGACAACTGGGAGATGTGCAGCGACGTGCAGATCTTCATCAGTTTCGTATGCATATTATATAGAAATGAATTGTGTTATCATATGAGATCACTGATCCATCAGGCGGAGTTCAATGCATAGACCCGGTGAACTTGCTGTGTCTTCTATGGCCTTCACAGATAGGCTGATCTCGGAATCTAGTAACGAATTAGTAGCGAAAGAGTAACTTCCTTTTACTTACTATCTGAGGCTACGCAATGTCGGCTGCGGCCGTAATAGGGCGCACCTCTCCTGGCCTAGTGTCCTTCTGCACAAAGTTCAGGGTGATATTTCGGGTCTGCGCGCATCAGGTTTCAGAAGCAAGTCTGAAACAGTGGGGCTGTCTACACTATGATGATCATTTATGCTACACGACTGTCGCGATAAAGCACAGTAGAAGCCTCTGGAACGATAGCAATAATAAGCAGGATGTTAGGCTTCAAATTCCACATGCAAGATCAGATACACGCTATTATCACAGCCAAGCCATTCCATTTACCTCTATGGCTGCCACAGCCACAACCCAAAACAAAACGCACCATCACCAGTCCCGCACCTGTTGGTACCGTGCGCGTCCTCGCATCTATGTCAAAACTACGCTGCACTTGCGTGCAGCCGTGATGTTTCGAGGGGGACTGGATGCCCCCGGCTCCAAGTCCTGCTGGACCCTTGAGCTGGCTTGGACACGAAGATACTTTGGCATCGAATACGTACGTCTTCACATATACTCCTCTTCCCGCGCGTCATATGAGCAAGAATGCTCGTCGACTGAAAGGCTTCAATGACTTTGATCTATTCTTGACCAATAAAGGTACCAGTGGAGCTGAGGGCAACTGAATAACCGCAATCGACCCTCTCCCAAAGTCAGTCATCGATGGTCGCATCGCTCAGTGCCATGCTCGTAAAGTCGCCGATTATGTGCCGATTTGCAAATATGACGCAGAGTCGAAGATCGGGCTTTTAGGCCTTATCACAGAGTGGGTAAGTGCAGTTATAAGGGGCTGGCAATGTCTTAGTCATACTAAGATTCTAAGATGACCGGAAAGATCCCAAGTCATCAGCTATGCATGCGATTTCAGGGAGTATAAGTGTGCACGAATTCTCTCAACTCACACGAAAGCGCAAATGCACACAAGGAAGGCGTATCAGGTACGGAGTTCGAGGGAAATTGTTCAGGGATCATGGCGCTGAAGTTGGAACTGGTGCAAGAAGTTGTTCGATGCTTCAAGACCCAGGCCTGGGGACGAAGAAAAGTATCAACGGGCACACAAACATGGACAGCACTTGCCTACGGGGCGATCGTACTGTATGACGAAAACCAACATGCCATAGTTAAACGCGACGAAAAGTAAAGCGCATCTTCCAAACATCGTAGGTCCTCGAGGATGAGTGGCTTAAAACTCTGCAACGTCCCTTACCACTGATTACAGAGTTCTTGCTATCGATTAACTGGATATTGAGAGTCTGCCTGCTCGCCGTCTTGCGCTCGGACCTGGGTGTTTATTGAACGAAATGACCCCTCTAACCTACATCTCACACCCTCTTGCTCAAATGGTCGATCAGTAATTCAGGACCATCCTGCACGAGTCCACTAGTACCGTTCAAGTTCTCGGTCGATGGCAAATTACAGTGAGCAACCGGATAACCATCCAGGTCAATATGAGACGTGAAAGTGGCTGGCGCTGATATTCGATGTGGTGAATATCGCCCACTCAAGTGTTCAAACTAGCTGAGTCGTTGCATAGAAAGGTGTAGCACCTTTGAGAACTCGACGTTAAGTTCAGCTTGGATTTGACATTACCAAACCCTGCTTGTGTCATGCCAAGACAGAAGAAACGGATAGTAGAAGGCAGGAATACTGCAAAGTGATGTAATTATGCGTGAAGAGGACGCGGACCGTTATCATAGAGCTACTAAAAGGACACAGTGTCACGGTGAGGTCCGAGATAGCGAGATATCATACATACCAGTCAACCGTGTATATCATGCATTTGCATGAATAGATACAAGGGATGCATCATGCACCAATATTAATGACAGGAGTAGGGCCTTTGATTCATGGCTGAGGGAGTCGCCGTCGTCGTCGCATGTTAGTAGTAATTGATGTTGGATGGTGGTTGACAACGTTGATGATGTAAGGATTTATGTAAAGCATGCGCAAGTCCAGATAAACGGTCAGCACGTGAAATTAAACGACTACTATTCAGCGGCCAGCCGCTCCTTTTCCATTCCACTCTCTTTAAAATCATATTTACTCTAGCAGTGCGACCATGCACCGCCGAAAGTCCAGCAAGGAAGACGTGGACGATGGTGACACGTTTGTGCTCATACCAGACAATGAGCCAACAACGGCGCCTAGCTACATTGACAGTACAGCAGCGCCTGCTAGTCTTCGACAACCGTAGCTTGGTCCAGGTATACCAGCACATCAACCAACAGGTGGACGTCCGCCTAGCATTTTTTTCAAATTCACTGCCTAGCTCGCCCTTCCGTGCGTCTCATGGTCGCGGTATAAAGCATATCTTTGAGTCTGTTCATGACACCCGTGCTATCTCCACTCGCCAACACGTTCCATGTCCCACTTCATCCGTTTGAACCGGGTCAGCTTGACAACCCCCCAGAAGGACTCAGAGGATGCATCAGTGAACCGGTGAAGAAAGTAGAAAGCCATATATCACAATATATAGTACACAATCGCACACATCAGCATAATTCTGCCATCGGTCATTACATTATCATGTTTGACCTTGTAGAGGAAAGAAGCGTTTTTCATTTTCTTATATCTGCTTCCGATGTCAAAGCTACTCAGGAAAAACCTCCTTCTCAAATTGGATGAAATGCGATCCAACTTGCACAAATCTGCAAGAATTTGACGATTTGGCAATCTGTCCAATTATTTTAATCCCTTTCAAATTTTCGTAAATAGGATCTCAATTCACGACAATACTAGCACATTATTTTCAGGCAGCTTTTCCAATTCAATTAAATGATATCAAGCAAATTCCATTAAATTTTAAATCTGACATAAACAGCGAACATCTATCTATCTATTATAGATGAGGGCGAGTGAGAGATATGTTGTTGTGTCGTCGTTGTATTGTCGTCGTCGTTGTGTCGTTGTGTCATCGTCATCATCGTCTCGCATCATGTCGTCGCGTCGTCGTCGTGTCATCGTCACTCGTCGCATCGCGTCGTCGTCGTCGTCGCATCGCATTGTCGTCGCATCGTGTCGTTGTCGTCGCATTGCGTCGCGTCGTCGTCGTCATTGTCGTCGCATCGTGTCGTTGTCGTCGCATTGCGTCGCGTCGTCGTCGTCATATCGTCATTGTCGTCGTCGTCGTCGTCGTCGTCGTCATTGTCGTCGTCGTCGTCGTATCGTCGTCGTCATTGTCGTCGTCGTCGTCGTCATATCGTCGTCGTCGTGTCGTCGTCATTGTCGTTGTATCGTCATCGTCGTGTTGATGTTGTTGGGTTGTTGCTGTCGGGTCATCGTCGTTGTCATCGCACCATCATCGTCGGCCAAAGTGGCAAGTGAGAGTAGCGATGAGTGAGAGCGAGTGAGAGCGGGAAGAAAAGTTCAAGTCGAACTTTTGTGAGCGCACCGTCACATGAACAAACATATACAAATGTTGGACTTAGGATATTTCCAGCGCTGTAGCACAATTGATCCCGCTGATGCCTTGTAGAGCGCCGCTGTACTTTCACATTTGCAATAAGCAGCAATCAGAAACATGTAAAGCATTGTTTTGAAAATACTTAATGTAGTCTTATTGAAAGCGGAGGCCGCTGGAAGCGGTACAGCCAGTTTCAAAAGTTGTCCGCTAAAGGTATCTTCTCACGAGAAGGGCTTGAATAGCATTGTAATGGGATAAATAAATAGGGCCAAACGACAATGCACGAAATAATTGGGATAAGTCTACTACCACCCCTCATTATCTGAAAAGGAGGAATGTCATAGCTTTGTGACTAAATCTAATGGTATTTTATATTTGTCGACAAATGCCCGAGGCTCTTTCCATCAAAAGGCCTTAAATAACATTGTAATTAAAAAACAAGATCAGGTAAGATGTCGAAGCTCAAAACAATTGGCTCAGGTATACTACCACTACTCATTGGCTGCAAAGGCGGAATGTCCCAGGATTGTTATAAATCATTCATGTTAAGCTGGATTTACAAGCATACATGAGTATATATGTGCAACTCAAATTGCTCGCAGTATATAAGAGCTAGTTCGGCAACTCGATATTTTCGATATTTTTCAATATTTGCTTTGGCATGTTTGCGAAAATGTTCACCGGCATCGTTCCGAGATGTCGGAGCTCGAACCTTGCTTCTCTCCTACTGTACATATTATCAATGGATGTATACCCTCATCTAACCCTAGAGCGGCGTAAGAGGCTTTTTGCTGGTGCGGTCGCGATCACTGCGATCTGTGCACAGTACACTACTCTTCTCATGGCCCAACCTGAAGTCAATGCTCCCCCTCACTCCAAGGCCCCACCAGCGCAGTGGAATGATGTCGAGACTGTTACCCTTGTAGACTATCTCTATGATCATCGCTCAGAGGCTGAAGGGGCAGGCAACTTCAAGCAGCAGGTTCTTGGCTCTGCTGCAGAGTTCATCAACAATCATGAGGCGCTTCAATCCACTCGCGCAGGTCCACTGAAGACAGCGAAATCAACTCGAAACAAGTGGACATCAGTAAGCCCTATTTGATCTCATCTGATCTAAGCTGACGAGTCTCATCTAGCTTAAAAACATATTTCATGCTATCGAGAAGTACCGCAACCAGACAGGGGTCCACTGGGACAATGAGACTGGAGCTGGGATTGAAGGAACTGCGGCTGCGGCTGTATGGACATCGTATGTCAAGGTATGTCCCCTCTTCGTCATATTGATTTGAGCGCTGACTTTTGTCAGGCAAATAACCTCATGCGTCCTTTCCGCAACAGGGGATGGGAGCATTATGAAAAAATGCAGACCATCATCCCATTGGGCGGCGCTAGAGGGCAGCACGTCTTCCGTCCAGGTGGCGCTGCTCCCTCCACCACCAATGCTGATAACGATCTTGCGGATGCTGCTGGCCCATCAAGCACTGCTGCTGTTCCTGCTGCTCCAAGCGCTGCTGCTGTTCCTGCTGCTCCAAGCGCTGCTGCTGTTCCCGCTTCTGCAGGCCCATTAAGCACTGCCGCCACCTCTACGTCCATCACTAGCTCCACTCCTGCACGTTCCACCGCCATCTCTACTACCGCTGCGTCTACCGCTGCGTCTACCGCTGCTGGCTCTAACGCCAGCAAGCGCCCATATTCGGATGTGATGGGGGACATGGAGTCAATTGGCTCCACGCACTTGTCATCGTCCATGCGACCTCCTTCCACCACGCTGGTGTCAGCCCCCCCATCCAAGAAACCACGGACTCCGGTGGTGTCCCAGAACAGCCGTGTCACCAAGATCAGCAGTGCCGCCAAGGCTGCAAAGATCACGCCAGCAGCTGCTGTGGTGGGGATGCAAGGCACCATCAACCGGCTCACCGACGTCTTTGAATGGTTTGTCAGAGGAGGGCCTGATGGTGCACAAGGTAGTGAGGACCTGGTCATGCGAGCCGTCAAAATCCTGGAAGGCGAGGACTCTGACATACCGCCGGACCAGCAGGCTGCTCTCATCATGTTCATTGGTTCAAAGGGCAATGAACATTACCTCAAGTTCTACGTGAATCTTCAGGAGAAGAGTAGGAGGCGTGCATTCGTGGGGAAGCTGATCGGCGAGGCAGTTGATGCAGGTGATGCCGGTCCAGCGCCGCGTGTTGATGCTGAAATGACGGGCTGAGCCGCCTGCCAGCAGGACAATATTCGTTTTCAATGTTTTAAATCTCATCATGCTGTGTGTGTTCGCTCGCTACTTCTTGTGTTGTGTTGCTATATGTTGTACTACCTACCACCTGTGAACTGAATAGAATAACTCTTGTGTGTCAATAACAAGCGCGTTCTCACTTCATTGTTCATTGTTCAGTATGGAGCACAGTAGTAAGTACAAAGTAAGCCTACACATCACTATCAGTATCATCAGCGGCATCAGCAGCAGCATCCTCGTCATCGTCCATGATATCAAGTGCGTCTAAACCCCGTTCCTGTATGACGCGCTGATACTGCGTCCACATCGCTGCTGCAATGCGATCACGCATCGCAGCTCCTTGACGAAATTCCTCCTCGTTATCCTCCTCAATAGCTGCTGCGTCATCCTCCGCGGCCACGTCAGCGCCAAGACCACCACCATCCTCAACATCTTCATCTTCGTCATCAGCAGGAGGATGACCCTCGCTAGGGTCACGAAGACGAATGTAGTTGTGTAGGGC